ACTTCAACATGCATCGATTATCAAATAATCGACTTGAAGTTTTCAAGTCCAAATATTTAGAAAACGGTTGCTTACAGCGACTAGTAACAAGGGTAGCTTATTTACGTAGATATGATAGAGGAATCGATTTTTTTACTGAAAAATGTGCTAGAAGTACGCCCAAAAAAGTTATGAATCTTTAAAAAAGAAAAAGACGTGTAGGTGGCGCCCTCTACGAGTAAGAGCAATAAGAACATCAGGTTCGAATTCGATACCTCAAAAACCTCCTACTACCAAGTTTCGATTAATCAAGTTCAGTATTTCAAAAGTTATTTGAAAAAAACGAAAATAACAATAAAACTCCAACATCCTGTATCTTGGAAACAAAAATTAAGCCACTTTTCCTGTTGTTTGTCCAAAATACGTTAAAACTCTAAAATTTCGATTTTGATTATCGAAGAAAAAACGTCGTGCAATTTGACCTTGTCAGACTTTTTCTTGAGTCGCAGATGTATGCAAATAAGTCATAAACACAGCGGTCCTCAAAGCCAACATTACTCATGTCTTCAGTAAAATTCAGCCTGGTTCATGGGCCTTAGTCAAGTAAAATTGAACGTTTTGGATGTGCTCCACCCAAAGAAGCCGCCGCGGACATCAATATGTCAAACGAATAAAAAATTTGGTTGATATCTTACACACACTTTGTTTTATGTTAATTCGAAGACAGAAAGATGATTAGGCCTAATACTGAACCTTGCTGTAAGCCTGAATAATTTCTAGCTTGAAATTCATTTGTCTTGTATGATGTTAAGGCTGGCCGCTTTGAGGTATTGAACATGTTATAACTTTATGGATGTTGAGGATCAACTAGTTGTAGTTTAGTCATACTTGGATATTCTGCAATATTTCTTAAGAATTTGTGTACACTTTGTCACAAGAATTTCCATTTACAACTATGACATGTGTCATCCGCGTAGAAAATTAAGTGTCCTTTGAAATCAAAAATAGAACTGACGCTATTCATGTAGATTAGGAACATAACTGGACCTAGTGCGTACCTTGAGGAATCCCAATTTTCACTTCTCCGGCACTGCCGGTTTACTGATCCAGTTTTTGAGGACAAAACACAAGCACTACTGGAAAACCCTTACTGGAATCAAATGTGCCAAGTCACTTGAACACTTCCCGTGGAAATATCTATAGAAAAGAGACAAACCTCCAACCTTTCTTCGATGTTTCAGACTATCAAGGTTGCAAGCGATGTTCGTGTCTCCAATAAGGTGAATGGCTCTTTTCTGAATGGAATCCAGCAACTTAGGGGTGTGCTAAGAGGAGGAGCTCCACACATGAGGACAATACTCTAAAGGAGGTTTGATCTGAGCTTTATAATGCATGAAAAGTTGCTGAGCTGCGTTTTTTGGTTCTGAACAGTGTTCCAAACTTTTAGGAAACGGCTTTTGCAATTCCATGTGCCAAGACATATTGATGTCCATTTTAACCTCCAACGAACTCATTCGGACACATTTATCTTTTACAAATGCCTGGATTTTTGTGACATTGTATTGAACCTGGTTACTTCCACCCCAATTCAAAATTATTTCTAGATCCTCATTTCTTTCTCTTTCTCCAAAAGCTTGTCATGTGAGACTGTGTCAAAAGCCTTGGCAAGATCAAGAAGAATTGTCAAACACTTTTATGATCTATCCAAGGCTTTCTCAAAGCTTTCTCAACAAAGTCAAAAACTGCATTTTCGTTATTGGAGGTCTTTATGAAGCCAAATTCTCTGTTGGTTCTGTATCTGTAGATAGGGAGGGTGAGTGTAGGCCCACAGCACTTAGGCTGCATTTGACTCATTGGACATCCTCTCGAAGAGTTGCCCTTCTAGGTCATCGTCCATCGTGTCCTTTCCAGGGAGGTGGACAGATCTCTGGGAGACATCTCCTATATATCGGCAGGTGTAGGCCAAGACTCGCCGAACACACACTCTCTTATTGACGATAACTCCGGACACTCACATAAGACATGCCTGACAGTTTCATCTTCCTGTTCACACATCCTGCATAGAGGCGTGTCCACTAGCTTCATAATATGGAGGTGTTTCTTCAGTTGCCAGTGGTCATCGCCAAATATTTCTTCGGTGCCAGCTTCCCAGGTTCAACCAGGGTGATCCTGGCAAGGTTGCATACTTTGATTCCATCCCATTTCTTTAGAGATTGAGCACGGGTGTGATGTTTGGCTAGTTCCGCAATTGTCGAAGTCATCAGGTCGTAGGCCCTTAAATTCTGAGTCTAGCCGCTTCCTTGGCTAAAGAGTCGGCAATGCCGACTACACTTCTGTCGTGCTCTTTAACCCACCTTAGGATACCGTTATTGTCTACCGAGGCTTTGGTAAATCTTGGCACTATAATACTAGATCTGAGGTAACACATTGTCAGTTCAAGGCTAATAGGGCTTGTCTGTTATCAGTGCAGATTGTTATGCTGTTGCCAGAAATTCTTTACCTGGTTATTTCTTTTGTAGCGATTGAGATACCAGCCAGTTCTGTTTGAACCTCTCTGGTATTCTTTCCCATTCCCCACTCAATCCTTAGGCTTAGTGATCTGGAGTAAACTCCACATCCTGAGCCTTCGTTGGTTTTTGAGCCGTCGGTATATATGACTATTGCATGACCCTGTGTTCTGTTTCGTTTGTATTTTGTAGGGTTTACTGAACACAAATCTGGGTTCATTTGCATCACTGGCTGCCTGCAGCAGTGGTTGCGCAGTAAGTGCTTCTTGCCATAGGCTTAGCCTCAATTGCCCCATTCCTACTTCGAGGTTTACAGCCGTGCCGTAACATGACCATTAACGCAACTTCCTTAACGTACAGGTCCAGAGGGGTCAGACTAGTAATAAATTCCATTGCCGTTGTGTTCATCCAATTCTCTGTTAGTTATAACTTGATGTTTTTTAAAGAAACCCATTTATGAATTGATAGATGTAGCCATTTATCTTTTCTTGAGTTTTTTCCTCAAAACTTTTGGCAGAATTATTCATTACCGAAATTGGTCTATAGCTACCGACAAGAATTTGTTTACCTGCCTTATGAATAGGTGTAACCAAATGTTATTTTCACTGATAAGGAAGTTTGCAGAGCTCAATACTCCAAAACTTCGAATACTTCAAAGACACTTTCATAAACGAGAATAGTTCGTTATAAAATATTTTTCTTGTTGAAATATCATCTCAGTATGACTCACCATTTGGACTGGGTTGATCTTTAGGTATTTGGGATGGTATCCTTCCCCAATACCAGGGGAGAGTCCTGGGGTCAGTTGGTGTGCCACAAAGGGCGGCATATCTACTGCTCGCTGCTGCTAACGCACCAAAATGTGACATAAGTCCCAGCCTGAAACAATTGACAAGGTATAGAAAAACTCATACGGTATTATACACGGTGTTATCAAATTATATACATTTTCCGAGGAAGTTATTTCCGGTCTATTTTGAGAAACAAAAATACTTCATCTATATACAGGTTGGTCCAAACGGAAACGACCAATTTTTTTTATAGAAGACACCAAGATTTATCAGAAACACCTTCATATATTTTATGAACTTTTTTGTAGTGTTCTGCGAGAATTTTTGGCCTGCCGGAATAAATAATTCATATATTTTTCACCAAGAGGAGTTTTCTCCGGTAGTTTTTGATGCATGTTCATCAGGAATTGTCCTTTCATGCATGAAATAATACGCTCTCTAACACTACGGTACAAAACGAGACAATCACATTCGAAAAACACAATGATGCATTTTCAACTTTGGATTGAAAATCGCTATGGAAAGTTCCTCAGGCGTTTTTTTGTATTGCTTCTCGCAAACGCCACATAAATTCGATATGATACTCCTCATTGACCGTGAGACCTTGTGGCAAGAACTTCTGATGCACAACGCCACGGTAATCGATGAAAACACTGAGCAAAACCTTGACATTTGTTCGACCTTGTCGTGCTTTTAGGGTCTCGGCTCTCCTGGGCTCAACAGTTTCGACTTTTTTTAGACGAATCCGACGCCATTCAACAATTTCTGAGCGGTACTTGCAATGTGTCAATTGCATAAATCAATTTAACGCAGAGTACCACAGACTTTTGGTTGACACTGGAAGTCACAGCAATCTGGAAATGACCTCTGACTTAATGACTCCAACTGTCAACTACGAACTTATAAAGTACCGTTCCCGAGTAGAGAAGACTAAATCCTTCGGAAGAAGGAAATATTACGAACAGATAGTTGTTGGTTCACAGATGAATCAAAAACACCTTCCGGTTCTGGTGCAGATGTTTTCAGTCGCAGACACAGCACAGAGATATCAACCTGCCTAGGAACCTACGCGACTGTATTTCAAGCGGAAATTTATGCCATTGAATTGTGTGCGGAGAGAATGGAAGACTCCAACCTCAAGAACTCCGCAGACTCTATCCAGATCACTCTGTCAAGATGGTTGTTCTGATTATTGAAGTCCTTGGTGGAATGATGTACTCTCTACTCTCGAATCTTAAAATCATACCGGCTTTCCGCACTAAGACAGACATCTTAGCCGCACAGATGCAGAAGGCTGTCATTCTTGACTCACTGCGTTTGCTCAGGGCACATTATTCTCGGACCCAATGATCACTCACCCCACGGTGTGGGGAGTGGTCTTTGGTTGATAATGCTGGCGCGCCCTCCCGAATGTATCGGGGCTTCGGGGGATAGGGCCTAACCATCGCAAACTACGGTGGAAAATAATAACGTTTATTGTGCAAAAACAAGTTTTATGCACAAAGTGAAAAGGGTTAGCCGGAGGCTCTCTTCCACCCGTCCCATAATTAAGAAAACAAAATAAGCATACAGTAAGACTATAAGTAACAGTTACAATAGACACAAAAATATTATAAAAAAAACTATTATGGAGATAATATAAAAGATTACAATCATTTTTGAACATCTACGAAATGAATTTTCAAAGTTTATTTTGAATTGATATATAGACAAATGCATATACGGTAATAAATTATTTAGATACTTCGGTCCAAAGTAAGAAAAACATTCCTCAAATTTGGTGGTAACATGATATGGAATGGTAAATGTATCTTTTCTTAAATTGATAGAATGATTATCAGATCGCTTACTGATTAATCTGAACAAGTAATTAGGAGTTTTGCTTTCCAATAGTTTATGTAAGAATACAGATATGAGATAACGAATTCTAAACTCAATATTCAGCTGATCTGATTTCAATAAATATGGAGTTACATGATCACGGTAGTTTATGCAGCACAAAAATCTCATACAAGCATTTTGTATGCGTTGAAGTTTGTGTTTACTATAGTCTGGCAAGAAGTTGTAGTACACTGAGCAGCAATACTCAATATGGGGGGGATAAATCAATGATTGAACTAATTTCAGTTCTGTTTCTTGAGAAACCTGGAACTTGAACTTGTATAAGGATTTCAGTTTAAAAAAGCAAGTTTTCGAAATGTGTTTAACGTGCTCGTTGAAAGAGAGTGTTATCGATATATACACCTGAATTTTATGCTGAATTCACCCAGTCAATCAGTTCATTGTCAGGAAAAAGATGGAAATTTGTTTCAACTTCATTTCTTTGTAGGTCAGATCCCAAACATAGGGCTACTGTTTCATTTGGTTTCATTCGAAGGCCATGATTTTTGGAAAATAGAAGTGTATTTTCTAAATCTAAGTTCATCCTGGTGATGGCATGGTAAATATTATTAGATTGACTATAACCTGCAAACGCCTCTAAATGATAGGAGCAACGATTGGGGGCTATAATGGGGTTTTTACTAATTAAAATAATGTGGTTGGATATTCTCTTCGTTCGAAACTTTGTAGAGATCTGGTGTGTTCATAAATGATCTTGAGATTCTGTGTTAAGTATTATAGTTGAAATCAATGATTTTCTGGTTGTCAGAGACTTCTTGTAGTACCGTAACAAAGGTAATAATGAGCTAATCGTCAAGATGTAACCAACGTACAACGAAGAGATAAAACGAAAGGGCCAAAAATGAAAAGGCCTGAAACAAAGTAAGGTTATACGAACAATTTTGTGCCAAGTTCCAGTTTTATTTGGGAGAGGTGCCTATTAAGATACCTCTCAATGGATAGTTGACAAGCTAGTGGAAGACGTACCTGTATATAGTGGATGGCCTGAAGTGAGGTCTAACGATTATGGCTTGATTAGGAAGATGGAATAATTCAAATCCCAAAACACTGAAGTGGATATTTCTTTCTTTTCTCAAGAATAAGAAACTCTTATATTCACCTCCTAATACGTATAAGGCAAATCCATCCAAGATGTGAGCACAATTCTCAAATTCAGCTCTTGCCATGTGCCGTGATGATCAAAAAAAAGGAAAGGATATCCCCCTTCCAAAGGTATGTCAACTTGTCATCTAGTCAGTTTTATTTCGCAATCCCATGAAATGGGTTAATTATTGCGGTTATCTGGTCGTTATGGTTATTGATGTCACAGACGGTCTGTTCGGGGTAAAATCATCTTCAATGACGTCACAGGTGAACCCTTTTGATCAAACCTTTCAATGATATGAACTTAACAGAAGTGACACAGATTGCCAATATAACTCAACAATGATGTAAATGTATATTTTGAAGAACTAAATATGAGAATGTTAGGTTATTTATTTTTCGTATTTGTATTTCACAGGAATTTCAAAGAACACTCGAAGCACCAATTACTACAAGGCAATTACAAACAAGAACTGATTGATGGTAAGTGATTGAATGATAACTAGATGCAATTGAATATACAGAGCGTATTATTTTCAGGGTACAGAAACTTATAATTTAACGGATCTCATGGAAGCACTATTTCAAAAATGTCATAACAATAAATAAATAAACATCGAAGTTGTATTTTTTTTCTCTAGGTAATTTAACGAAAAACATTAAAAAAAGGTAAATTAACACGTAACATGACTTGACAGATATAATTGAAAATTATCAGCATATAAATGTACGTCGCACTGGGATAACGTGGCAGGAAAGTCAAAAATGAAAAGAGAGAACATTAATGGACCTAAAATGCTACCTTGTGGTACACCAGAAGAAGTTTCCTGAAGAGATAAGCATAATTGATCATTATCCAGTATAACCCGTTGAGCCCTTCCTGTGAGATAGCTTCTCACCCAATCTAAAGAACTGCATTCAAACCCAATGTATTTTAGTTTACTCAGCAATAGTTTGAAGTTTACCAGATCGAATGCTTTGCTTTGATCAAGCATAACCAAAAATGAAACCATCGATTTGTCCCGAGAAGTAGTGATATCATTGATAACCTTCAACAGAGCAGTGTTGGTACCGTGTTTCTGTCGGAATCCAGATTGCACTTCTGGAAGTATGTTAGCTGTATCCAA